CATTTTGTAAATTGATAAACATAATTACAATATATATTTTTGAAAGCATTCTTACTTTACATTTTTTCACACCTGCCTAAAACTTTTGCACAGTACTGTATGTATATGTGTTTGTGTGTATATATAATCTCACCTTGGCAATAGATACAAACATGACCATGCCTAATGAATTTTTTGCCCTTTGTTGCTTCTATTAATGTTATTCATCAGCATGGCACAGTTGGGCTGACCTATGCATTTTCATCTATCAGGAATAAAACAAACAATGATAGTTTAACAACGTTGTGTGAAAATTAAGAAAGCATCTCAGCAGGGAATTCAACTAGGAGTTGATAACTAGTTGCCATCTGTAAGATTCTTGAGCTCTCTCTCAAAATGTGCATGTGCAAATTCTTGTACCAGCCAAGAAAGGGTGCTGAATTGGGCACTGTCAGTTAATTGCAAGTTTATCAGATGTTAGAAGAGTTAAGCCAGCTCCCCACTCATTAAAATTCAGTTAATATTACAAACTTGGAACTACTATACACTGCACTTATAATGGCAATTCTATGGGAAGGCTTGATTATACAAATTGAATACAAAGCTGTAAGTGACTGGAAATGGTGGTATATAGTTTTTTTAAATAATGGGTAAATAAATACTTCCTTTCTCTCCTGGTATAATTTTGTGGCTTCAGCTACATTTTCCCAGGTAGAATCATACATTCAAGATCAAGAATAAGAATAAGAAATTATTTAATAGATTATTTAAAATAAATTAAAATAAAGTATCTGCTATCATCTATTTATGTGGTCACTAGGAGTCAAAAATGACTTGATGGCACATAATCAAACTTATGGCACATAATCAAACCACCTTACTGAAGAGAGTTTTTAATCAAACTGAGATCCAATGCATAGCCACGGCTTTCTTAAATAGGAGTGTTCTTGCCTTCCTTGCCTTCTTGGCTAATAGGCAATGTACCTTTTGTTGTGGAATGGACAACAAAGTTATTTCACATTATTTATTTTCCTGTCAATTACGTGCTAGTCCTAGAAGTTAGTTTTGCCCCACCTTATCCAAAGGTTTTAGAGACATTGAAATAAGAATGAAATTATTCACTCATCAGAATCTTTTTTTGTCATTGAACAAGTTGCAAAGTTTGTTGTCCCAAAGCTGTGTTTGAGCTTTCTCTGTAGTGGTTGTAGTTTATTGCAAAGGGGATCAGTATGAGTTTAAGTGTTGAAATCTAGTTTTCAGTAATTAAGTGAAGAAGTTTATTTTTTCCCTTCCTTTTTCTATCCTGTGCAAAGGTTGTGGATAAAAGCAAAAATTATACTCCCATAGTAAGCTTCTGGAGAAAATGCAACATATAAATAAATAAGTAATAAATAAGTAATTTAAAGGATTAGAGAAATTATTAGCCACAATCTCAACTGAACTCTTTTCTTGATTTACTTCAGTCAAAGCTCAGATTTTGAGCCATGATGATCACATAACTTTTGTTCTTTCAGGACCTCAGGGCCGATACTCCACTTGGTGATCTGTGGCATCATGATTTTTGGGGGAGTAAACTCAGTAGCAATACAAGCCACAAATCTTACCGACCACTTACTGTATTAACTTTCAGGTGAGACATTTCGGGCTATCTTAAGATTGCTTTCATTTTGGGGGGAGTCATTAATGGAGATAAAATTCATTAAGATGCTGTCTTTTTAGTGAAATAAACTGTCATTTAGTGTTGTATACTATCCATCAACCACCGACTGATCTTCCCATCAGGATGCATAACCTGTTGTTGGATTACAATGTGTGTGACAATTATTTTGGGTTCCCCTACCGTGAACATCCTCCCATGGTTCAGGACAGCTGGAAACATTGCATAAATAAAATCTGGCCCTGACTTCTAGATCACTAAGAACCCTGGAAGTGTACTGTGCTTCCTTCCACAAGTCATACGTTGCCACATTTTAACACAACATGTAGTTGCATTGGTACTTGGCTGGAAGGCTGCCATTGTATTATCATTCTCATTGGCACCCACTCCTGCTCCACTATGGTACTGTCACTGTCACACCCGCACACACAGAGCCTCTTGAGGAAGAACGGTGAGTAATCTCCAGCCTTCCTTTGCAAGCCCATGGACTGGTGGTGGTGGGTTAAGCACTCTAAAAGGGGTTTTCCATTTCTGGGTTGAGGGGAGCCTGCTTCCCACTCTCTGATGCTGCACAAACCGGGATGCTCGTTGCTAGGCCAAGCATTAAGTTGCCTGCCTTTTGCATCCCCGTTTGTCACATTCCTTCAGTGTTTCCTCTCTGTACTAAGTTACACAGGCACTGCCATTTCTGTGCATACTTCTAAAGCACCCTTCTGGGTTGTTTTAACATATTCTAATTTCATTTATTCTTATTTTTAACTTCACTGTTTTCTTTTTGTTTTCCCTTGTATAGGATTAATTACCTTTTAGCTGGAGGCTTCCACCCATTGGGCTTTCATATCATCAATATAATACTCCATTGTATTATTTCTGTCTTAATTGTTGATGTCTTCTCAATATTATTGGGTGGGCTGCAATACACCAATAAAGGAAGAAGGCTAAACTTTGTCCCCAAATCATCCCTCCTAGCTGCTTTGCTGTTTGCTGTACATCCTGTGCACACTGAATGTGTAAGTACCTAATGACTCAAGTGTTGAGAAGTGCTCAGAAATGTCAGGGTTCCATCATCTAATCATCTGTATCCTTGCAAGTACCTGTCTTATATGCAGTCCTCTGTGTGTGTGTGTGTGTGTGGGTCTGTATACAGCATATCTGATACATGTTGCAACATCTCTTTGCTTGTGTGTACTTTGCATTGACTTTTCTGGTACATTACTAATCCCTCAGAGAGATTTTGCTTCCAAAAGATGTAGATAATTAATACAATTATTTATTTTTAAAATGTATCTTGATTGGCATGAAGATTGCATGCTATATCCTGCTGTACCGTA